CACAGAGCCCTCAGAGACGCAGAGTCCTCATTGACGCAGAGTCCTCGTAGACGCAGAGTCCTCATAGACGCAGAGTCCTCGTAGACGCAGAGTCCTCAGAGACACAGAGTCCTCATAGACGCAGAGTCCTCATAGAAGCAGAATCCTCATAGACACAGAGTCCTCATAGACGCAGAGTACTCATAGAAGCAGAATCCTCATAGACGCAGAATCCTCAGAGACACAGAGTCCTCATAGACGCAGAGTCCTCATAGACGCAGAGTCCTCATAGAAGCAGAATCCTCATAGACGGAGAATCCTCAGAGACACAGAGTCCTCGTAGACGCAGAGTCCTCAGAGACGCAGAGTCCTCGTAGACGCAGAGTCCTCAGAGACACAGAGTCCTCGTAGACGCAGAGTCCTCAGAGACGCAGAGTCCTCAGAGACGCAGAATCCTCATAGACGGAGAATCCTCAGAGACACAGAGTCCTCGTAGACGCAGAGTCCTCGTAGACGCAGAGTCTTCAGAGACGCAGAGTCCTCATAGACGCAGAGTCCTCGTAGACACAGAGTCCTCGTAGACGCAGAGTCCTCAGAGACGCAGAGTCCTCATAGAAGCAGAATCCTCATAGACGCAGAATCCTCAGAGACACAGAGTCCTCGTAGACGCAGAGTCTTCAGAGACACAAAGTCCTCGGAGACACTGAGTCCTCAGAGACGCAGAGTCCTCATAGACGCAGAGTCTTCAGAGACACAAAGTCCTCGGAGACACTGAGTCCTCAATCTCTTTTTCTGTGTCCTCTGTTAGCAAGGAGCAGGAATCCTCTATACTGAGTGTTCCTGTTCATTGATAACATGAGGACAGAGTATGTTTACTATAACTACAACTATGAATGAACAGGAAGTGATGTAGGAGGGGATGTAGATCACTTCCCATTCATTCATAATTGAGGATATAGTAACCGTACTCTGTACTCAATTATCTACAAACACTCGGCGATCACTGATCACATGACTCCTTGTACCCCTCTCCTCTCTGACGCGCTGTCACAGGAGGCTGAGCGAGCGGAGCAGGGAGGTGAGCTCAGCCTCCTGTGACAGCGCTGGCTGTCTCCGCCCACACACCGCTCTGCCGGACTGTGATAGGCGGCTCAGCGATGTGGGAGGAGAGATGCCGGCCGCTCACAGCGCCAGCTGTCACAGATTCTTTCCTCCCCGCTGGGACACAGAGCAGAGCCCAGTGTGGAGAAAGCAGGGATGCGCCGAACGTTTCCAGAATCGCGGCACGACAAAAGCCGATCATTCTATATCCAGCACGCGGCGGAAGCGACGGGACGTCTCCTTTAAGGCGAACATCCGCCGTGTAATTAGAGGTCGTTCAGTCCTCTCCAACAAAAGAGCTGGTGGCCTCCTGGGAAAAACCGCCTGAAAAGGTCAATAAAAGATTATTTCTTTCACCTCGGGAACCTCCGACTCCGAAAAGAGGGGGGAGGAGCCGAGGAGTGGACATGGAAGAGCGCAAATCATTAACCGCAGAGCGTCGCAGAGAGAAGAGAACCGCCACCCGGGGGGAGGGGGGTGGATGTCAGAGGCAAGAGAGAGACTAACAAAGGGGGGGAAGTCCGCAGATCGGGGGCCCCACCGACCACAATTAATGCTTATGGGGCAACAACAAAAGACAATTGCTGGACGCGATCCGCCCCCCAAACTGGCGACCTCGGAACTCCGACATCCCGACGCACGAATTCCGAAAATCAACAGGACCAGAAAATCTCCAACTCTTGTTATAAAGCCGTCATTGAGTCTGCTGCAGGCAGGAGGAAGCATTTCCTCAGTCTCCTCTCCCCCAATATCAAACATCTCAGAAGGTTGAACATTATGTCGGCATGTTTGGCAGCAGAGCTAGCACTCTAAATGCACATTTATTTCCCAGAGAAGCCTCCATTGGATCTCCTTTGTGTCGCGAAAACATCAGAAACCCTTTTGCGACGCGTTTAATGGAAGCAGGGCGCGACGGAGCGAGAGGAATGCGCTCCAGCCGCAGCGTCGGCTATAAAAGCGCTAATGGTCTCTGTTCCCGGCACAAGTTCATGTTACCGGGGCGGCGGGAGAACAAAGGACGCGGGGAGACTCGCCGCATATGTGAACAATCAGAGCCGGGATCGCCAATATCCGAAATGTACGCGGGGGGGGGAGGGAGATTCCTCAGCAATATGGAAGGAGGTGACACCTGAGAAACCCCATCACATGTGAGGGCACCCACAGCTGCAACATGTTATCGTTCCTGCAAACAGGGGAATCGTATTGTAGCACCTGACCAGGACACGATGTGTTCTCTGTACAGCGCTGCGATATATGTCAGAGCTATATACATGTATAATAATAGTGTGTGACTGTGGGGGGGACATTAGAGTGTAAGCTCCTCTGTACAGAGACTGATGTGACTGTGGGGGGAGGAGACATTAGAGTGTAAGCTCCTCTGTACAGAGACTGATGTGACCGGCTCAGTGTCCTCTGTACAGCGCCGTGGTATAGGTCAGAGCTATGTGATGTATAATAATGGTTGCCATGGGTTGCAGTCGTTGGGGGCAGCGCTGGGCTCCTGTTCCACCGTCCGGCTGATTGTTGTACTTTCTCAGGACGGACTCGGGTTGGCATTTCGGGATCTCGGTATCTCCAGTGAAATCATTTTGCGGATAGTTTGGCTGTCGCGGTACACAAAGGGCGCTCGTTTTCAAGGGAACCGCGCCGGTTTGGGAGCCGCGGAATATTAATGCCGTCGCGCTCGGATTTTGATGTGTTTATTTGTAATCGGGAGATCTCGGGGAGCTCGTCGCGGCGATGATATAAATAAGTCGCGCTGATAATCCACGTCGCGGGTTCATTAATGGAGAGCGGAGCGTGAAAAATCCGGCGCGTTTTCTACACGCTCTCTGAAGTGGACTGATTGTTCAAATTAAAGCCGACGTTTCATCTAATATTTCCCCTCCCCCCTCATCAGCAGGATAACGAAACGCACCAAAAAATAATTCCGTTTTCATGACATATTTTATCTCCAGTGATGTCATCACTGGGTCTCTGTGCTTCTCTGTGCATTGCAGGCAGATCATAGCTGGTGGGAGGGGCCAACAGGGTGCTTCCTGGAAACCTCCCCGCACTCTGACTCAACTCTGCCTCAATACTCCTCGAAGGAGCACTCAGCCCTGATGCAAGCAGTGGGCGGGCTCTTGGGAGGAGTTATGCAAATATCATGCAAGGCTGGAGGAGTGCCGTTCCTAAGCTGTATTTGCATGGAGACCCCCCCCAGGTAACGCCCACATGTGATGCGAGCCTGAAGCAGTGGGCGGGCTCTTGTGGGAGTTATGCAAATATATTGTCAGTCTGTAATTTGCATGCAGACCCCCCCTGGGTGACGCCCACATGTGATGTCGAGCCTAAAGCAGTGGGTGGGATCTTGGGAGGAGTTATGCAAATGTAATGTTAGTCTGTAATGTGCTTGCAGACCCCCCCTAGGTGACACCCACAGATGATGCTGAGCCTGACGCAGTGGGCGGGCTCTTGGGAGGAGTTATGCAAATGTCATGTTAGTCTGTAATTTGCATGTAGACCCCCCCCCCCTCCTAGCTAACACCCACATGTGATGCTGAACCTGAAGCACTGGGTGGACCACTGGGAGGAGTTATACAAATGTCATGCCAGTCTGTAATTTGCATGTAGACAACCCCTAGGTAACGCCCACATGTGATGCTGACTCTGAAGCAGTGGGCCGGCTCTTAGGAGGAGTTATGCAAATATCAAAATGCCTTGATGGGTGGGTGTCAGTCTGGAGAAGTGGGTGGTCCTAAGCACGATGTATTTGCATGCAGACCCCCCTAAGTAACGCCCACATATGATGCTGAGCCTGAAGTAGTGGGCTGGCTCTTGGGAGGAGTTATGCAAATATCAGGTCAGTCTGTAATTTGCATGCAGACCCCCCCTGGGTGACGCCCACATATAATGCTGAGCCTGAAGTAGTGGGCGGGCTCTTAGGAGGAGTTATGCAAATATCAAAATGCCTTGATGGGTGGGTGTCAGTCTGGAGGAGTGGGTGGTCCTAACCAGGATGTATTTGCATGCAGACCACCCTAGGTAACGCCCATATATAATACTGAGCCTGAAGCAGTGGGCGGGCTCTTGGGAGGAGCTATGCAAATCACAATGTAACCCTAAATATGAATCACGAGTTATTCCGCACAGAACACCAACAATTTCTCTGCTATAGTAAAGAGAATACAGCAGTGCCACTGACCCGCCCCCCAGCCTGCTGATTGGACAATGAAGGAGCAGCAAGGTACCATCAGCTCTGCTCTCTCACTGTCAGCAGCAGAGACTGATTGGCTTCCAGTGCTTCCCCTCCCCCTTCCAGTGTGAATGTTGCTGTACTTATACTAGCTGCCTGTAGATATATATTGCGCAATGTCTGCATGGAGTTCAGTTTTGAGTTTGAGCCAAGCAGGGATGTACAGGAATAGTGAACAAACTCCATGTGGACATGCTCTCCTTACGCGCAGACCTCGCATTGCTAGACAGACACATTTTCTGCTCACTGCAGCAGTTTTCGGGGGAAATTAGCTGACGATTCGCTAACGATTCCCAAAAAAGCTCAGAAATGGAAGAACGTCCGCTCAGCATTTCTGGAGGAAGAAGGAAAACTCGGATGTGACAACAAAACCCAATCGGGACTGCTGAGTGGAGTCTACAAAACCAGCAGCTGCATGAGGCCACGCCTCCTTCTCAGGGGACAGTGCTGGGGACGGGAACAGGAAAAGCCCCTCCCACTGACACCCAATAATGCAAATCTAGAGGACGTCATCACTGATCTCTCGCTTTCTGATAACGCTCATCGCCTGGCTGTCAATGTTATCTAATGGCTGAAACATGTCATCGAATCTGGGAATCAGGCGTGCTGACCTTTCTCTGCTCTCACTGGCTGCATGCTTGCTACACCCACAGTACACATGGAGGGGGGGACTTGGACTCACCTGTGAAGCTGAGGATGGGGTGCTCTTTCCTCTGACACTGATCTTCCGTCTCTCGGTCCTCGGCCCGCACTCGCGGTGGATAGAGGTGAAGCAGGAGGATGGAGAGGGACAGCAGCCATAACCGGGACATGGCGGGAGGAGGCCGGGGGTCTATCTGGGGTAAAAC